GTTTGGGTAGAGAGACAGGATTTTCAGAACTCCTTACTCCTGTCCGTCGGCCCATCACAGGCCAGGCCCAACTGGTTTGGAGGGTTCTCAGGAGGTGGCAAGGCCAGTGGGATGTTTTTGTCCCAAAGGTAGAGGGAGGACAGAAGGGGGTTAGACACAGGGAGATCAGACAGGTGTCCCATTTTCCCTCTCCGGGGAGCAGAGGGGAGTCCTGGGCCCCACTTTCTGATTAGCTCCGGCGTCTCTTCTTCTTCTCAAAAGGACACCAGTTCTGTGGGATAGGACCCCCGCCTTATGACCCCAGCCTATTTTATTGGGGGTGGGGTGGGGACACAATTCAGTACACAACAAGCATTTTCTTTTCATTCTAGAACTTCTCCATCCCAAGTGGAAACCCCAAGCTCGTGAGTCATCACTACCCATTACCCTCTCCCCCAGCCCCTGGCATCTGCTTTCTTTCTCTATAGATTTGCCTGTTCTAGACATGCCATGTAAATGGAATCATACCATGCATGCCCTTTGGATCTGGCTGCCTTCACTTTACATCATGTTTGCAAGGGTCACCCACGAGTTAGAGCTACCGTTTAAGCTAATTTGTAGAGACACGGAGAACGCAGGGAACTGGGCTGAGTTCACGAGGCTGTTGAGTGGGGTCTCCTCTTAGAGCTGTGAGGGCAGGGCCCAGGCTGTGCCCCCCCACCCCCCCAGGGCATCTCCTGCGTGAACACTGGAGTCTGGGACACGGAAGGGCACTCAGCACGGACAAGGGATCCATGAGCAGGTGACCTCCCTTCTTAGGGCACACCCCTCCAGACTGGGGAAAGAGAACGCTGCCTTGCCAGCAGGCCGCTTGGGGGGCTCGAGGGGGCTCAGCAGGGTGAACGCACTTTGCCACCTACAGCGGGCTGTGGGAATGCCCAGCAGCCCAGGCAGCTGCGGGCTGAGGTCACCAGGCCTGGGTCTCCGCGCACCGTGAGGGGCTATGGCACCATCTGGTGGCTGGAAGAAAACCCGCCGCGAAGCAGCCCAGGACGGCCCACAGATTAACTTGTAAATTGAAGGGAAGACGAGCTTGTTTGTGGAGCACCGGCCCCCCCGCCCAGGACCGTGCTGCACCCTTCGCAAACATCCTTAAGCTGGGGGCAAGCGCCATGGGAATATCAGACACGGGTTCAGGGCGCTGACGGCAATGCACGTCTTTGTGACAAGGGAAGAGGCTGGGACAATCTGCAATGTGAAGAGGCAGAGGAGTAGGCATGGTTACAAGCCGATTAAGGAAATGTCTAAGTGGCTAGATTTATTTGAATCTGAGCGCACAGGGAAATGGCTGCAGGGAAACGAGCCAGGGTGTACACACGGAATGTGGAAGGGGTACTGAGCCAGGGCGCACGAAGGCTTGAGCGGTCTCAGCAGGTGTTAGCTGCTGTGGTCAGGACAGGATCAGATTCTTCATCATCCTCATCCTCATCCTCATCATCCCTGGCTGATGGAATTATTTTTCCCTTTTACTTGTACGTATTTTCTGATTTTTCTCTGCTGCCTATGGTACTCAAACAAAAGAAGAAACTAAAACAGAGGACGGGAGCCATTCGCCCCCGCAGAGAGATGGGCTATGAGTTTCACGAATATCGTGGCAGGAGGTTCTCTCCATGCCCGTCAAGGACCTGGCAGGCGAGCCCCGCATGCCAGGCTGGGTCTGATCCCGACTCTGGGCTCTGCCACCCAGCAGCCCTGGGACACGTGGGCCCGAGCCCTCAGGGGGTCACTTCCCTCATCTGTAAATGGAGGGATGGCAGGACCGACCTCCCAGGTGATGGAGTTTACACGAGCTGACTCTGGTAAAGCATGTACCGTCGTGCCTGGCGCACAGTAAACACGATGCGTCTTTGCAGCTGTAAACCAGGCAAACCGCCTCCCATCTCAGAGAATCAATCCAGCGAGGGATGTGGACAAGACCAGGGTTTCTGCGGGTCCTGTCCTTACACCTTACACCTAACACCTTCCCCAGAGCCATCTGGGAAACTCGCTGAAAGGCAGATTCCTAGGCCTTGCCTAAAATTTCCAAATCTGCACTGTCAGCAGATTTCACAGGGGAAAACTGCCAGCTGAGCTCACGGGAAGTTGAGACCCATGGAAACAGTATATCATTTCTAAGGTCCCTTCCAGCTTAAGACATTCTAAGATGCTGGGTTCTTCTGGAGACCTGCCCAATCTCTTGACCTCTGCACCCCAATTTTGTAACAGGAAAGGCAGTTCTTGGCCCTGGCAGGCTGTTTTCAGAGAATCAGAAAGCACGAAAGCTGGAGAGGCTCATGCCGTAACAGTCAGGACACGGACGCCAGAGTGGGGAGGGCGCTTATTCTTGCTGTGGGTGGCCCAGGCTCTGTGCACGCCACAAAATCAAGGCCTGTCCCTGTCAGATAATTTGCTATCCAAGCACCCATTCACACGCTGCTGAGCCTTTTCACCGCTTCTAAGTTTCTCCTTATTACAGTTCAGGCTTTGGGGCAGAGTGATAAGGGGAGAAAGGGAAGCGACAGGAAATAAGAATCAAAAGAGCTTTGAAATTAATTTTTCCCTAGAGTTTTATTCTACAGGAACAAATTCCTATCTTTGCCCAGCAGACTTATTCAAGGGGAGCACCCTGAGCCTAGGCACGTCTTACTCTTCGAGCCTACGCAAACCCAGTACCTGGGGAGGGAGCAGCGCCATACCGGAGGAGCTCCATAAATGTTTATGGACGCAGGGCAACTCTGAGGGTTTTTAGTCTGAGCAACGGGAAGAATGAGGCTGCCGTTTAATGAGGTCAGTAGGAATAGAGGGGAGAAGGAGAGGCTAAGTTTGGCAAGTTTTCAGTCTGAGTGGCCTACTGGACATTCAGATGAGGATGACGGGGAGGCTGCTGGGCGTCCGATTCTAGAAGCCTGGGGAGGCCCTGGAGGACACGAGTTTGGGAGTCGTGAGCAAATAGCACTTAAGCACTCATTAGACGTGAGGAGATGGCCTAGGGAGGCAGCAAGGACAGGGAGGGGTCTGGGCCTGGGCCCTGAGGTACCCCAGCTTTCAAGTGTGAACTGATGAGAGGGGAGAAGGGGTCTGAGACTGAGCAGCCGGTGAGTTGATGGGAATCTAGAGGGATTGACCCTCCGGGACGTCCTGATGCTTGTCCCATGGAGGAAGGAGGCATCGATTCACTGCTGGACTTCAGTCCTGCCCAGGAGTCAGTTAAGGTGGGGACCCCTGGGCGAGCAATGGGGACCCGGACATGACTTGTTTCAGTGGAGTGGTGGGGACAAAAGTTACCTGATTGAACAGGGTTCTAGAGAGAAAAGAAAATAAGAGGATCTATCCAGGAGGCCCAATATTTTGACTAAAAGGTATTCTAAGAACATTCTCTTGACAATCATTTGCTGAGCATCACCAAGTGCCAGGCATTGTCCTGGGCTCAGGGGAGACAGCAGTGGACAAGAGACAAAAGTCCAGGGAGCTCACATCCGGATGAGGAAACCAATACAACAGATAGTAGATCAGGCAGTGGTTAAGTCCTAAGGAGAAAAACAGAACTGGCAGGTCAGGACAGGGGGGTGGTGTGGAGGGTTGCAGTTTTAGACGGGGGTGCAATCTACAGGCACAGACCAGAGAGGCTGGTAGGGGCGGGGCAGGTTCCTATTTGCTTCTACCTTCTCAGAGGAAAAGGAAGCAAGATCATGAGCAAGACAATGGGGCAAAGGGGTGTGGAGGCTGGAGAGGACTATGAAGACCACAGAGCAGAGTCACCAAAGGCAGCACGGGGTCTAGATCAGCAAGGAAGGCTGTGAGGCGGCCCAAGTCACTGGAAGTGAGTTGGAGTAGAAAGCAGAGAAGGGCTGTTTCTCACCAGTCGGGCTCAGACACCCACATGCGGGAGGAGGGCAGGGTTGGAGGCTGCCCAGATAACTCTGATAAGGAGGCTGGGGGGTGGATTCTGGTGTGAGGGGCCACGGGTTTAGCCTGGGAAGGAGGTGGACAGGGACACGAGGGGTGGCAGGGGCAGTGGACAGATGAGTGGATCGCTGGACTGGAGGTCCTAGGGGATGAGGGCTGTTGGGCCCGGGATACCAGAGGGAGATGTGGAGGACAAGTGGAGGGAGAGAGACCCCCGCTCGTGTGCAGCTACCGCGGTTCAAGCTGACTCCCAGGCACACCTGTGAGCAGGTTCCCAGCCTGACCGGCCGCATGTCCCCGAGCAGGCAGCTGTGTCCACGCGAACCGAGTTCTCCCATCTGTAAGACGGGGCTACTACACGCTTGCTGCTCCAGACCTGTAAGGCTGCAGGGCCGATCATGGCCGGGGAAACCGGAGGCGAACCCGAGTCTGACCTCTAAGTGGACGTTCCACTCTGCAACCGTGCTGCTTTCCCCTAAAAATGCTCACCCACCCGCTCCTCTCATTGCTGGTACTCTACTTCGGAGTCCCAGAGGACACAGAAGACACGCCGTCTTCATAGTCCTCTCCAGCCTGCACCGTGGTCCTTTGTGCAAGCATTTCACGGGCAAGTGACTTGCGTTGTGCCACACGGGGACCTACATTTACATCAAAGTACTTGAGCTCACTTGACAGTCTGGGGACAGCCCCACGCACACCCCTTGTTCTGTCACACAGAGGCCAGCGGGTCTGCTGGGCAGGCGGGCAGGAGGTACGCACGCGGGAAGCCACGTCAAGCCACTGAAACCTGGGCAGGTACGTGCCAGGGGGTGATGGGGTCACTTGCGCCTTATACGGGTGCTACGAGATTTCTTCCGCAGACTGTAGAAGAGAAAACCCAGAGGAGATTCTGAGAGGTTGAGGAGCTTGCCCGGGACCTAATCAGTAAGCGGCAGCCAGGGCTTCTGAAGCCCACTGTCCCGGGTGGCTGACCTGAACCCGGGACTCACCCTGGCAAGGTGAGCCCTTCCTTGTTGATAGTTATTTTACCACTACGGTCTTTAAATTAAATTAATGAGAATGCTGGAGGAAACACATTATCTAGAAAGTCAAGTTTCATTTATTCAAATTAAATTATAACATGAGTTTCATATACAAATAAACTTTTTGTGTAAATAAAAATACAAAACAGTACAAATTTCAATCATGTAAAAATGCAAACATATTTGTGTTACTATATATAGCTTTCTCCCTTTAATGTGACTGAGACGTACAGTAGCTGACCCCACGCGTGCACGCCGTGGTGCCGGCGAAGGTCAGTGGGATGGTTTCCCAGGCTATCCGCTCCTCCAGTCCCCTGTCTGCGTGCACGGGGAGCCTGTGGGCCTTCTTCCCTGATCCTGAGGCTCCGGATGCTTCCAGTAATCAGTCACCACCAGCACAGAAATGGTCAAACTATTCTCGGGCCGGTGAGAAAGGGCCACCACGGAGAAAACGCTCTCTCCCGAAGCACGGACGCCGCTCCACTGGGCTTCAAAAAGGCTCTGAGGCTGGGAAATGCTGCCGCCGGGCATCACTGGTCCAGCTCGTTTTCATTCTGCAGCGTCTTCATGGCCAGCCCCCAGAGCGTCATGCTGGAGAAGAACTGCCCCTCGGAGTTCCTGTACGGCGTGGCGGCCCCGCGGCCGCCCGGCACATCGCCGCAGTGATTGTCCAGCGTGGCCAGGGACGAGCGGCCCAGGGACAGGCTGTCGGGCTGCAGCGGCGGCTCGCTGGCCACGGCGGCCACATCCGGGTAAGCATACGCCGGAGGCTGCGCCGGCTGCATCGGAGGCTTGGCGAGTTTGCCGGGATCCAGCCTGAGCTTCTCCGGCTCAGCGGCTGCGGGAGGCTGAACCACGGGCCGGAACTTGCAGTAGGAGCCGGCGGAGGGGCCGTCAAACTCTGCCACCGAATCTTCGGCCGGCTGCACGGGGAGCTTGACCGACACGGGCATCAGAGTCACAGACACGTCTTGGGAAAAGGACTCCGAGCCCTGCGACTTCTCCAGGTCGGGGGTCTCGATGGCGTGAGCGAGCTCGTCGAGCGCGGCCCGGCCCCCGTCGGGCCTGCAGTGCATCTTCTCGTGCCGCCGCAGCACCGCTGAGCGCGTGAAGCACTTGCTGCAGATCTCACACGTGTACGGCTTCTCCCCGGTGTGCGTGCGCACGTGCCTGCGCAGGTCGCCGGATCCCCCGAAACACTTTCCTGCAAAACCAACAGGCATCCTTTTAGAGGAGGACGTTCTCGCTCCCCCTTGCAAAACACAAGGACTCAACGTTAGCGTGCGCGACCTCCAGCCCTCCTGTCACCTGCTCACTCCGGAAGGCTCCTCCGGTCTTCTCCAGCTGCGGCCCTCCAACCTGCAGCCTTTGGGTTGTGGGTCCCTCAGTGCGAGCCTTCGAGAGCCCCCGCGCCCCTGCCCAGGAGCGCCTCGCTGGTAAGCCCAGGTGCCTGCCCCTGCTGGCCCATGCTGGGAAACCTCGTCAGTTTTGTTTACGTTTTCTGAAGTCTAACACGGCCAATCTGTAACTTAGAAACATCTTTTTGCTTTTGATGTCATTTTACACATGCTTCTCCAGGTTCTAGTTCCTTTCCATGTATAGGACAGAGGGAGCGGGTCTACTTCCGTGATTAGAGTAGGTAAGGAGGTCAGAAGAGAACCACCAATAAATAACCTTACCAAAGACATCACCTATTTACGGAGGACTGAGCACGCACCACGCAGTTAGGTGGACACATATTTAGAACTTCTCCCTTATCCGTGTGAACGCTCAGCTATCCTGCCCTCATCAGGCGGTGGGGGGGGGGGGGCATTAAAAAAACCGCACCTCTGAACAATCAAACTAGGCGTCCACACGCATGCGTTACGTTTTGGCACTTCTTCCCCACACAGGCTACCGAGGCACACCGTGGGGACTGTGTCTTCACATCTACATCTTGTCTGCAGCGCCAGACTCAGCCTCCTTCACAGAACACCCCAGTAATAGCATTTTCACCGTTTGCTGTGCTGTCTACACAACATACGGTTCATACAGATAGGCGCTATTTCATGGATTCGAAGCTTCATAAGCATTCCTCCATCTGCTGCACGTTTGGGCGGTTTCTACCTGTTTGCTACTCTACTTCATCTTCAATTAACATCTTTCTTTTCACTGCTTCCTTAAGATAAATTCTCAATAGTGGAATTACTGGGCAAATGGGAATCATCTTTTCTAGGGTCCTTAAGGCATGTGAATTTTAGCCACAGCGGAGTTCCCACCAGTCAAGGCAGGGGAGCCAGACTTCACAGCCATCCTCACGGCAAGATGTGGCCCCTGTCTGGGAAATCCAGCGAGAAATAAATGGCCAGCTGTGCTGGTGACAGACAGGAGGGTCCTCGTGCACGGCTGTGGCCCGAAGTCGCCGGCAGCACAGGATGCAGTGTTTCCATGGACCGGACAAGGGTTGTGCTTGCAAGCGAGCTGCCTGGAGCCATCCTCAAACCAGCCTAAGAGGACTGCCCAGAGGGGCGAGGAGACCCCAACTGAGAAAGTCTCCGGGAATAAACTGCTAGGACCCAGCGCTGGAAGAAAAATGCAGGTCTGTACCTTGGAAAGTGCAGAGAAATGCTGGGAAAGGAAGAGAGGGGAGGGAAGGAAATGGGGGGGCAGGGAGGAGAAATGGAAGGGGAGCTCTAGTCCCCAAAAAAGCCCAGGATGTGAAGCCACCTTAAAACTGAACCTGTCTGGGGCGCCTGGGTGGCTCAGTTGTTGAGCGTCTGCCTTCAGCTGGGGTGGTGTTCCCAGGGTCCTGGGATTGAGCCCCGCACTGGGCTCCCTGCTCAATGGGAGGCCTGCTTCTCACGCTCCCGCTCCCTCTGCTTGTGTTCCCTCTCTCGCTGTGTCTCTCTCTGTCAAATAAATAAATAAAAAAATCTTAAAAAAAACAAAAAAACCCCAAAAAAACCCTGAACCTGTCTTTTGAACTCGAGAAAATGAAAACACACCCAAACTATACACAAATGTTCACAGTGGATTTGCTAATTGAAAGAAGTCAGTTACGAAAGACCACATGCTGTAGGATTCCATTTATATGAAATGTCCAGAACGTGCAAATCCAGAGAGAGAAGGGCGCTTAATGGTTGCCTAGGCTGAGGCGTGGGAACAGGGAGTGACTGCTAGTGGACACGGAGCTTCTTTTTGGGGCAATAAAAATATTCTAAAATAGACCATGGTGTGTGAGGGTTGCACAACTCTGTGAATAATATACCAAAACCACTGACTTGATTACTTTAAATGGGCAAATTTCACGGTATGGGAATCTTACCTCAATAAAGCTGTTAAAAAATTTTGACCCTGTCCTGTAAGAATGAACATTCTTGTTCTCTTTTTCTCTCCCCCTGGCTGCAGGCTGACCTTGTCAAGGTCAGAAACCATGGTTAGTGAGGTGAGGGAAAGGGCTGGACGTGTAAGGTGGGGACGACAGGGCCCCCTCTGCTTCCTCCTCTACTGAGGTCTCAGCCAGCAGCAAGTCCTAGCCGAGGAGAGAAGAGGATGTTTAACCTCAAATCAAGTTGACAGCTGTAATGATAATTTGGAACCGACATTTAAATTAGTGACTTGAGACTGCATCTGTGATTTAAAGTAATACTACTTTATTTTAGAGAGTGCGCGCGCGCAAGCAGGGAGGAGAAACAGAGGGAGAAGGGAAGCAGATTCCGTGCTGAGCGCGGATCTCAGCATCCTGAGGTCATGACCTGAGCGGAAATCAAGAGTTGGACACCCCACCGACTGCACTACACGCGCCCCAACACAATTTAATCAAGAGTAACGAGAACAGTCATGGAGCTGCTAAGTGTGCACGCAGGAGATCGGTACACAACTTAAGTGGGAGAGGACAGTGAAGCTCTGCTGCGGTCACACCCCAGAAGGCCCGCCCTGAGATGGCAGCTCCCAGGCAGGATGAGCCGCTCGGAGGAGTGCTCGGCTCCCGCCTTCCCACAGCTGGGCCCTGAACAGTCTCCCCATGCGTTCTAACCAGGAACCCAGAAACACGGTCACTCCCTCCCTCCTCCGTGACTCAGTTCGCGCTGTCAAGCACCTGTCACAGGCACACGCGTACACGCGTGCACACGCACGCACACCCAGTTCTTCTGAGGCTCAAACACTATGATCAGGGGTAGCGGGACTCAACTCCGAGTCCCCATTCCTCACGTGTGCAGCAATGCGCCTGGACAGTGAGGGCCACCAGCCGTGCCTCTCCTCCCGAGACTTCACTGCTGCATCAAATGCCCGCAGAAGGGGCCTTTGCTTCCTAACACGGGATCTCGAGAAGCCCTCCCTCTTGACCCCGTCGTGTGCTCTCGATGCTCCTGCCGGACGGTCCAGCCGCAGCCCCCACGCCGGCTCCTCAGGCTGCAGGACGCCGACGCCCGCTACGGTACACCACACGCTCCCACACTTTCCCAACTGTCTACACCCCACTGACCTGGGCCAGGAGCACGCAGAGCCTGGGACTCTGTCTCAGCTCTGTCCGCAGAGCACCTTACGACAGCTCTGGACACCTCACAGAAACTCACAGGCCTGCGAGAATGCAGGACTGACCGAGAGACTGCCACGGGAGGTGGTAAAGAAATCGCACCACCTCCATTTTACCTTTGAGAACAGGGATGATTTACCCACGACACCAAAACAGCCGATGGCAGAGCGGGTGCGGGGACCGGCACCCCGCCCCCACCAGGGACGGCAGGGTGACCGCCGCTGCGGGCCCATGGGAAACCTACCACAGGCAGAGCAGCTGTAGGGCCGCTCTCCCGTGTGCCGGATCCGGTGCTTCACCAGCTTCCTCTGCATGTTGAAGGACTTGCCGCACTCGTCACAGGTGAAGACTTTATCGGCCGTGTGTGTCTTCTTGTGCTCCTTCAAGTTACTGAAGTTACTGAACCCTGGGGAGACCACAACAGATGCTCAGCAGAAGGACCGAGAACACTGCAACTGGCAGTCTTCAGGACAAAAAAGGGAAAACACGCAGCAGTACCTCGCCCACAGATGTCACACAAGTGCGGCTTCTCTCCTGAGTGAATAATGATGTGACGCTGGACATCGCCAGACGCTGCAAACCTGTAATGTAATTTGAAAATTCAATTATGAATTTCTTTCTACACTGTTGCACATCTTTGTGACTGCAAGTCACTGAGGGAGGAGATGAACTGCTCCCTACATTCCTTCAGAATGTCATCAGAAGTGGCCCGATTCATTTGAAATGTGCACTTTAAAAATCTTTTTTTCTTTTTTATTATTTACTTTTTTAAAGATTTTTTTGAGAGAGAGACAGAGATAACTACGGAGACAGTGAGAGGGAGCATGAGCGGCGGCCCTGCTCAGTGGGGAGGAGATGGAGAAGCAGGTTCCCCGCTGAGCAGGGAGCCCGATGCGGGGCTCGATCCCAGGACCCCGGGATCATGACCTGAGCCGAAGGCAGACGCTGAACCTACTGCGCCACCCAGGTGCCCCATCTCTTTTTTTAAAAGAAAGTAGAAAATGATGCAAGTGTTCTGTTTTTGTTTTTCTACCTAGTTTCACCTTTCTTCTTCAAAGATGGTCAGCAGCTTGGCTCGGGGAGTAATTCCAAGCCAGGCTCTCCGATACAGAGATCTGTTTCCTTTCCTTTCCACCACACCTGATGGTATAACTGGTTCCATTTGGGAAAAGATGTTGCCTAGGGACATGATTTTAAACGCATGCCTTACTTTTCAATGGCGTTCAGAAGGTTCCCATTTAAGACATCGTGTAAAACAAGGCCACAGTGAAGCGACAGGGCCACCTGAAGCAGCTGGGGGTCCATGCTACGAGGCACCAGAAATGAGCGGTCCGCGCTCCCCCGGCACACAACGGGGTCGTCAGTGTTCAGGTGGCCACGGCAGAAAGGGAGACATGTCAGGCTAGGCAGCTCTTCTTTCTTTGTTTCCTCCCATCTGCAGAGACAGCAGGTTTTCCTGGACCTGAACAAGAGTTGCTTCTTGCTCTAGCATCCCCACGGCACGTGCTGCGCTGTAGTAGATGACTCGGACTTCAATTGTCCCATGTCTGTCTCTGCCCACCATTCTTGAGGATGACCTTATCAGAGGCAGAACCTGTACGTTTATTTCTGTGTTCCCCTCACAGCACTCAGCACCCAGTAGGTGCCAAAGACATGCTGAATGGTGAAGTAAATGGACGACTGAATCGCTGTGACTGGTGGCTGCCGCCTGAGCACGACCGCTCCATGAGAGCGTGTGGACTCCCGACAAATGACCCAGTGAGGGGAGGAGGGGTCCCCCCCACACACACACTCCATTACCAGGTCACAGCCCTGCCCAGCTCGGGGCACTTCCTCCAGCCCTCTCTCCTGATGCCCAGGCTTTCTGGCTGCCAAGTCTCATTTTCCCCACAAGAGAGTCACCTCCATGGGAACATTTATCTATGATAATAGACATTCTTGGAATGAATGGAAACTTTAGTATAAAATAATGTTGTTTCATGTAAAATCCCATTTCGTAAGACTCGTGTCCTAGATTTTCTATTAATTAACACTTCTCTTTCTTTTTGTTCTTCTCATCATGTATCCCATGGAAAGCCGGAAGGTTTACCTGTCTTCCTCAGTGACAGAGGGAGCCCACAGGTGGCTCAGAGAACACTGAGTTCAAAGACAGACTACAAGTTGATCCTTACAAATGGAAGAATAAGCCCAGCACTGACCTCTTTCCACAGATTTCGCAGATGTATGGTTTTTCACCAGAATGCCGACGTAAGTGAGTCTGCAAGTTACCTGCCTGCAAGAAAGCAGGGAAAGAAAAAGCATACCAATAATGAAAAATTTTCTTACAGGTCCTATAATTTAAAAGGAAAACTGACAGCTTGAACCAGGTCCCGGTCTAACTTTCCCAGTGAAGATTACATACGCACAACTCAAAAGTAGCCATGTGCAAGGAGATCAGGGACCAGCCTAAGTCTAACTCTGGGGAGTTTGCCTTGCCCAGCAGCCTGCTGAACACGGATGCGTCTCCATTCTGTGCCTGCTCCACGTGGGCCCCTGGCTTGTCCCACCTCAGGCGTGCACTGTGCTGCTTCCCTCTGAAATGGGCCCGGCACACTGTGGAGGCTGCCGACCTCGTAGTTTAAATAGACCTTGGTACGCTTTATTTGGGGTTTTTAACTCAGACCATCTACATGCAAGCATCTCTTGGGAAGAAAAAAAAAAAGAAAGGAGCACCTGCAGGATTTCTTCCTTTTTAAAAACCTGCTTTTGCTCCTAGAGAAGGTGAGACACGTGCAAACGGGCCTTCCTGTGGCAGCACAGCTATTCTCCCGGACAGGGCTGTTGTTTTTTCACCTTTGTGCAAAAATGCACATCAGGGGCTTCACAGTAGCTGGTTCACTGCAGAACCTTTTATGTTCCTAATTTCTGAAACTAGAAGGGCTTCCCAAAGAATAACTTATTTAAATGAAGATCACAAAATAGATTTCTATGTAATAATCAATAGGAAGTCAATAGGAAATTGCCTAAAGTACACTGAAATTAAAACTGCAATTGCCTCGTATTAAAAAAGCTCCTGGCTAATGTTTCAAATTAGGATTTGAAAACAAAATCCTCCGTTGCTGGAACTTAACTTAATAGACTCAATCTGTCATGTCCCCTGCCTACTTTTTTATAGCGTTCTGTTACAAAAACACTGAAATGAATGAATATACCCAAGGGTAACATGTGCAGTCATTATGCACTATTTTAGCCAAAAAGGGAGAACGAACAGTAACACCAACTAACAAATTTGGCTTTGTAAATCTGCCAACTTGATTTTAAATAAAATGCAGACAGTTCATGGCTATGGATTTGAAGATGGTCTGAAGTCCACATGTGCGTGGAAACTTACAAGCAGAGAAAGTGCGATCTGGGGGTTTTATGTCACAGAACATGGAGACTCTCTGTGTCAGGCTCCGGGAAATCACCAAGTCAGATATTATCTTTCAGAATACAATAAATATGGCTTAGGAAAAACCCAGATTTATTTCAGATAACGAAAGGGAAAGAATCTGGCAAAACACTGGGAAATCCCCATATTTTAAGAAAATGACTAATGATAACAATAATAAAACAACTGTCAAGAGCAGTCTGGTCCTTACACGCATCACCGAACCACTCTTAGTCACTGCTAGATCACCTCTCTTTTCCAGATGAAAGACTCAGATTCAGATAAATAAAACAGCTTCTCCCGTTACAAGGTTGGGCCAAAAATGAGCTTTGGTTTGTGTGAGTCTACACTCTCACGAGTCTCTGAGAATCAACCAGCTTGTGCTGACGATTCAGTACAACAGTCACTTGGAAAACAGCTCACTGGAGGTAAGATAATGCACTACTGACTGTTTTAAGTCAGTCAATTCCAAATTCCAGAAAAGCTCATCAATTATGTAACAATTTGAATAGAACCATCTGCTCATCTGTTAAATTAGGTCCTTCTTGTTTTAAGTTATTTTGTAAACGATGTATCATGACTGAAATGTGTTTTCACATTGATTCTCTGAGTCAATTCTTAGCAGTGCTGCATCCTTTCTTGTTAAGTAAAGCGTAACAATTACTTGTTTTCAAAGCAAGTAGCAATGGCCTTCCACTTAAAATAGTGTAATAAGCAACAGTAAAACAAACCCTTGAAAAAAATTTTAGCTATTTAATATCAGAAATTAATATCAGAAAGGTACAATGAAAATCTTCCACCAGCTAGAAGGATCTGACCAATGGTATAAAAGTAGATTAAATACTGAAAGAGTCAGGCAAAAAAAGTCCAATAATGCTGTCATTGATTTATGCCAAATTACATAAGCAAACTGGGAGCCTGATTATTTGGTCTTTAGTCAAGTATCCATACTTTTGGTGAACTCTGACTTACTCTAGTACTAAGTACCCGCTAAGTAGCTAGTCCACATCTTGGAGATTATCTATAGCTGGATACGCGACTGCTATCGATCAATAAGAGACCACCAGGAAGGAAGTACTCTGCTAGGTATCTGCAGATAACGCCACAATTCCCTTACAAAGTCGTAGTGTCGCATTTTACCGAAAAGTGAACCGATGCTCTGGGAAGGAAGTAATCAGCCCAGGCTCCTACAGGTGGGATCAAACACCCCGACCCAGGCCCGACTGTGGTCTCGAAGGCTGGTGGTGCTGCCATGCTGTCTGTTATGTTCCAGAATTTAGCAGGAAAGGGGGCTCTGCTCCTTCCAAGCAAATATTTTAAATTAGGAGGGAGCTGTCAGGATTTTTCAGAGAAAAACTCTGCTGGAGAAAAGAACTAATATCTGATTTGTTGAGTAATTTAAAAAATAACTCCTAATATGTATGTGAGCATCTGTATTTAAACCTGGACAAACCAAGCATATATTCTCTATCAGAGCATTCTTCTAAAGACAGCAGATTATTTCCAGGAAAAATAGCCAAGGAATCATACCATTTTCAACATAAAAGGAATCTCAGATCTTTAAAGTCATCTAGTTCAGGAGTCTGGGGGCTTCAGGATTTCACAAAATAAAATTAACAGGGAGAAAGAAATCTGGAGATGAACATGGATCTGTCACCTAAACGGCAATGATCATTCTACCGGATACTGGGAGTGTGGGGGTACCACCTCAGGGCCGGAAGTCTCACGACTTACGAGAAGTTCACTGAAACACTCTGACTTCCGCATGTTCCCTGTGGTGCCAGGCTGTGCCAGTGCCCTGGGGAGCACGTCCGTTTCCAGACGGGGCTCCAACACGGCTATGCCCCCCAACCCCACCCCATACCCCATGTCCTGGGCCTGGGGCACCCCTCTCTGACAGCACTGCCAGAAGACACTGCACCAGCCCCTCAAAGTGTCCATTTCTGCCTCTTTGGAGAGACCAAACTGCTCTACTCTCCCAAAGCCAGCTCAGTGCCCCCAAGTGTCCTCCTCTCATTGCTCACATCACAGGTACGCAGACCTGCCCCCTCCTTCCCTCTCCTCTGGGGGCACCCACCGGTCCAGGTTCTACTCCATGCGGGGGCCCTGGCACTAAGGACGGAGCCTCACTCACACTCTAAAGTACGCAGGGCTCCTGAGGGCTGAGACCCGCGCACAGACCGTGTCCAGAATGACGTCAACGGATGGACAGTCTGTTGTGACAATCTCGGATTACGGTAGTTTCTCGAAGCTCACATACCATATGCTTACACCTCATCATCAAGGTTGTGGTTAACTTTTATTTTTCCCCAAGACTGACCCTACTAAATATAAATTAAGTAAATAGCATAAAAGATGTATTCTCATTGGTAATCTGTTTTCTTGCTTTCAAGTCTTCCAAAAGGGAAAATACTTACAAACTCACTTCTACCAAAGCAAATAGGGCCGCAAGAGCATGGGAGCTTTCCAATCCAGCATAACCACAAACATTCACTCCATTTCCTTCAAAGAAATGAACACCTGGCTTAAGGTGAAGGATGGCTAGTGGGCACTGCTTACAAAGTATCCCCATATAAACCACCTGATAGCTCTCTTGTCCTAGAATGCCAGAGACCCCCAGGCTTATCAAATGCCTGCTTGTCTTTGGGGCTGACCTAAACAATCTCTTAACACATTTCATGTCCTCACCCACCCCAAACACCACTTCTTCCAGGCAGAAATGACCACTCTCTTTCTTTGCCCATACTGCTCCCTATGTATACTTCTCCAGCTCATGGCAGAGCTCCTTGGACACTGTAGGCTCGCAATAAACACTTGCTGAATTTTTTTCAAAAAGGTCCTTGTTCACAAAAAATTTCACAATTTCGCTATGAAATAAACAGCAATATACATCTGAAAACTGCAACTATACATAATCCTACATTCACAAAAATCTGACAAAAATACAGACAACAGCACAGAGGAGGATTTCAGTGGTGTGTCTGTCAGCCGGGGCTGCCCCTGATGGGACTCAAGAAGGCAAGTGCAGGACAAGGTCTGGGCAGTGGTCCCCAACCTTAGCGGCACACTTCAGAAACGCTGTAATAATCAAGCCCCACCCCAGAGCAATGGAATCAGAATCTCCGAAGAGGAGGGTGGGGCTTGGCCTCGGTGCCGGGAGAGGAGGCTGAAGGCTGACTACGGATGCCTGAATATCTGGTTTTCTTTGATTAGCAGTGAAGAGTCACAGAAGGCTCCCAAGCAAGGAGGACAGAACCTACACTGTTACCACATTTTAAATGGATGAAGGGCTTTCATGTCCATTGTTCCATTCACTGCTCCGACAACTCACATGAGGAAGTACATCCCTGTTGTAAGAATTAGAAAAATGAGGCCCAGAGAAGTTATGGTTGCTAATTATTAATCGTCATTAGTCCAGGCCTTCGGCTTTTCCCCACCCCAAAGCTGTAAGGTCAGGATGGTGGTGGAAGACCGGTGTGCAAGAACAGAGGGGCCGGCACCAGGACAGGAAACAGTGATGCCCCCTGAGCACTAACTACGTGCCAGGCAGGAGTTTGTATTCCTACTGACTCAGGTAGTCCCCACACACCGGCTGGGCTCAGTCATCTCATCTCCCTGGTTTTACAGACAAGGAAGCTGAAGTGCCAAAAGGTGAGGCTGCTTGCCCGAGGTGACTGAGTAGCAAGCCAGGGGCAGGATCCAAATGCACACCATCCGGCTCCACAGCCCCAGCTTGGAAGCCCCGGGCGAGGCTGCAGTGAAGAAGCGAGGCCTCAAGTGCATGGCAGCTGGAGGGGTGAGGAGCCCCCCTCAGCTCTGCAAAAACTTACTGAACATTTAGTGGGTGCCAGGTGTCCTCCTGATGGCAAGTACGGACTAAAGACGCAAAGGCAGAGGTTAGGACTTGGTCAGTCACTGCACGCAGGGAGCCGCAGGCGTGAGAAGTCACCAGAGCACAGGTCTGGGTGCGTGGGAGGGTGAAGGGGACACTGGGGGAGAGTTGCCTCCGTGGGGAATGTGCCTGAACACAGCGCTGCCACTGAGTTTCTGTGCTCTGGGGAGGGCCTGCCGCCCAGCCTTTACCAGCCTAGGGGGCTCTACTCCTGGATCACGGCCCAGCCCGGAGTCCCCGCGCCAGGGAGCAGCGTCCACAGGAGGTGCTATACTACGGGGTCCAGCGTGCCCGCCGCCCGCTGGGTGTAACAACAGCCGTGCAGTGGCTGCTTCGCGTGCACCTCTGGAATGCCAGGGCCCAGCACGGGGCAGAGCAAGTCACCTCCTCCTACTTCAGGAGCAGGTTCCCACCGGGCTACAGCCAACATTTTCTCTAAAACATGAAATCTCTAGGTTTCTTTATGTCCAGTGCCCAGATCAGCACACGGCCCATGGGAGGGTGCAGCACACACGGGCTGGATGAGAGAACTCATACATGTCCAAATGAGCTATGGGAGGTCAGCCAAAGGCAGTCGGAGCGGGAACGAGAACTGCTCACTCTGTTCCCCACCTCCGAACAACCTTGGGCCGCTAAGAGTAAGACGCCATGTGTCCTGGATGGAGCCCAGCCGTGTGCAGCCTCTGGATGTGTGCTCGCTGTGGTTCACCAGAAACTTCATTCGTGAGAGAGAAGAAATATACTTGGAATGGACCCATCTTTAAGGGGGTGGGGTGGGGGGAGTTCACACACTTACAAAAAAATGTTACTTTTCCCCCAATGAACTAAAAACGTGTTTTCTTGAAAATTATTTTCTCCTGATTTAGTGTGAAGTCAAAGTTACAGATACCATCAGAGGCTTCTCTCTTAAGTCCGAACGTATGTCTTATTTATAATAATAATGATAATAATAATTAAAAAACACTGGGTTTCAGGTTTCCAATTATTAACAGTAAATAAGAGTATTCCCACCTGAGAGAAATGTTTCCCACAAATGTTACATTCAAAAGGTTTCTCACCTAAAACAAAACAAAATAACAACTTGTAAAATCATTAGTCATATTTGCACCATTATTTTGCTTAAAATGTTCAAACTGTCTCCCATGTTCTTTCAAAAGGGAGCGTCATGTTCTTTATCAGAGTATGAAAATGGGCGGTCTCTACATCCTTATAATTCTCTCTGGCTCTTAGACAGCGAGCAGAGATGATGAGCTCAACAGCAGCATCTTATTCACCTGCCCTTCAGCCTGACACCTCTACCACCAACTTCTGACAGCACGAGGGTGATTCATTCACACCACACGAGGTATACACATGGAGGAGCCCAAAACAGAGTGTGCCAGGGAGAAGCCCCTCTCCACTGCCTTTCAGCCTTGGCTGACACACGCTAATGGAGAAAACAAGATTTCAGCACGGGAGATGTGCTTCCCTGCCCACTTCTCTCTCACCTCTGATTTTAGGAACTCTGAATAACTGCGTTCCGGAATAGAACAGATGCAGAGTGGACTCCGCTATGAAGAAGCCACAGCAGCTCGGAATAGTCTCTAGAACACGATCTGTTGAAAAGTGTACTTCTAGGTACCACCTTTCACCCGTAAAACACTTTTAGGCCTTGAAGATCAAGAACCTTCCTTTTTCCCCATTCCCCTCAAATCAAGTGGTTTCATTCAGATTCTTTTAAAAAATTAGCGTTTCCCTTCTTACTGTGTTGCTCGGGTTTGCCACCTCACTAGCTTTCTGAGCTCTTGCCAGGACATTTTCATGTTGATCTTTTCCTAAAACTGTTTAAGGCTTCCTCAAGGCCAAGGCGGAGGTTTTGACCCTGAGCAATTATAATCACATGAATCCTGTATTCAGTGACTACATTTAGGTCTGAAACTATGGGGATGATAGATAATGTTAAGTGAAAGCCCCCAGTATAAGTTACAACAGTTTGAAAAAAAGAGGCCACCGGTCACTAAGACTCACACGTGTCCAGGGTCAGTAACCCTACTGTTGTGGTTCTCAACCTTTTTGCTCTTAGGACCCCTTCACACTCTTAATAATCAAGGACCCTAAAGAGCTGTTGTTGACATAGGCTGTATCTGGTGGTATAAGTCATAGCAGAAATGAAAACAGCGACCAAACATTTCATTGGTCACCAGAGTAGCTGGGTGGCCTTTAGCTGACTCCACTACACACTCGTGGGAGAAGGAAAAGGTGGCAAGTAACGTCACAGACTATGCTGGAAACAGTATGGGCCTCAAAGACCCCCTGAAGGGGTTCTCCAGACCATAATCCGAGAAGTGCTACCCTTCTCAGTTTCTGTCCCAGGAAACATCTGTGCCATGACTGTATGACTACGGGCATCCAAAGATGTTCCTTCAGGACAAACAACGTAATTTCTGTTTCCTTTAAAGCTAACTAGATATGTTTCTCAAATAAAAATTCTAATGATCATTCGGCTCTAGGAAAGTTATGCAAACAAAATGACCTAAATCAAGTTTTTCCAGGGCGAAACTGAGTCAATGATACTGCCTTCATATAAAGTAATTCTGAACTGCCCCTCCTCCTCCATGACAGCACTTTATGTTTAAATACATTAAAACTTATGAAGGGCTTCCATCTGTATTAAGTCTCTCAATAATACAAGAGGTAGCAAACACCTACGCAAACAGGGAATCCAAAGTGGTAACAGAATGTCAGGTCAGCAACCACAATTACATAAGCACCGTAAAGCGGTCACGCTAGAGACATCCTTTAGAGACATCTCATGCTTCTAACTGTCATTAATTTATTATATGTATTAGAGTCATCAAGTTTAACCACAAGAAGGAAAGTAACACATAAGTATTGCGTCATGTAACGTGTATGTACTATGTAACACCTTCAAATGAGCACCTGGAAAAATAAACTTTTTGGAAAGGGGACGAGGTATGAATTAAGGTAATAAGGCTTTGAAAATTCAATGTTCAAAGAGGAAGAATCTTCATTTGAAAATATCAAATAGTTAAAGCTGATCCTTATTAAAAAATTTACCTCCTCCCAAACCACAATTTAAAAAAATCTGATAGGAAAATTACTTCCCAGAGAACTTTTACTATTACTCTTATTTCAGTCTGAATGGAACTGACAATTATCATGCTTTAAAAAGATAAACTTACTTTAATTCTAAAGAGCAAATAGAACTTATCCGCTTTAGAATATATTTGAAATTTTCAGTGCATCAAAACAATTCACTCCACTTCTTTAGAGATGGAAACTTTATCATATAAAACCATAATTAAAAATGAAAAATGTGCCATCTTTTTAAACCAGTTCTATGACAGCATCTACAGAACTTTGAGATTATTCTTTAAAAGTAATCACCAAAAACATAAGAAGCAGCTAACGCTCCTTGATTTGGGGGGAATTATCGATGACATCATCAAGCAACAGCAAAACTTCTTACAAAAGCAGGAGTAGGTCGTGGTGTCTGATCGTCTGCACCATCTCCTTTCCTTTTGCCTGTGGGTACTGAATCAGTGTACCTGTATGTGACCGTCTGTGAAGCTCCAGATTGCTCGGGTGTTTAAAAGGTTTTCCACACAATTCACACGTGTACTGTCTCTGTGACTGAAGCATCTGGGACTGGTCCTCCAGCGCTGCAGGCTCTTCGGGCCTCTCCATTTCGTTAGTGCAGTTAAAACGCTCAGAAGTGACGAGTTCTTCACCTTCTTTTTCCTCAGCACCGTGGCTGGTGGCTTTCTCTGTAGTATTTGCACTAGCGCACTCCACCCTCTTCGTTAAGCCGTCATCCAGCTTGCCTTCGGATGGCTCCTCTGCAGATTTCTGGGACTTGAGGAAATTTAGCTTCTTAAGGTGAATGGCCTTTTTGAGCCTCATCTGTCTGGTGGGTGGTTGGCACGGGTTGTCTGAGTCAGGGTCTGGGGCAGATTCACTCAAGGGCTGGGCCAAGAAGTGGGAAGGCAAATGCTCCGAAGACTCCAGGACACATTCGGAATGACTGCCAGCACAAGGCTGGTTGTCGCCGGCACCAAGGTCCGCGGCTGTGCTGAAAGTGAAGGGCTGCTCATTCACCCTCTCGTGACCAGGACACGCAGCCTGTTTGTAGTACTGCTTGCTGTAAAAGTTTCTGAGTTTGTAGTAGTAACTCGGCTGTCTGAAAGGCAGCTCTGGGCAGGCGCCATCCAGCGTGTTGGGCGCCTGTTTGGATGCCTCCCCTGCAGACTGATGGAGATTAATGGACGGTGGAGCGTGAGAATGTGATTCATCCAAAACCTTACTCTGCTGAACATCGGCGGGACACTCTTGCAGCAAATGAGGAGGGTAGTTTTCACTTACTGCACAGTGCGCATCGGCAGGCGGGGTGCTCTGCAGGGAGAACGCGCTGTTACAAGACACGCCCGGGGGCTGTTCCACAGTGGTGGACTTCAAAAATGTGTGACACAGATTCAGAACATTTTGAACTTGCAAACACTGTGCTATGTCCAGCATTACTTGGATATTATCCTGGTTAAGATCTAAGTGAGAAGTGTACATGAAGTCCAGGATCTGCCCAATGCCGCTTACATTTTTAATATCCAAGTGAAAAACATCACTTTTTTGGCCTGAAGAGTTCTGAAAGAGGCTCCTGATAAAAGAAAGATTATGGTATGATAATTTTTTTCTTATAAATAATGCTCATGATACCATTAAAAAATACTATCCTTCTATAAATGCCACGATTTTAAAATTAAGTATATTTCAATCCTTTAAAAAATTTTGGTAAGCCATTCAATAAAGCAACTCAGATGAATTAGCGTGCTGGATATCCAACCTTCCAAACAGATCTCAAAGTAAAGTTCTGAAATACACTCATTGTTCTTTTAAAATATAATTATTCATATATATTACTAACTGCATACAGAGTATAATATAGGATATTACAGGACACATTTTTCAGTATTTCATGTCTAGCTTGGCAAATTATATTTCAGGCCATAAAACACATAACAAAAATATTTCCATATCTAAGTGCCTTAAACATGTCTAAAAATAAAAATAGTAAAATAAACCAACATTTGATACATTCATTTTTTTAATTTTAATTTTTTAATTGTGGCAAAACATACGTATTTACCACTTGATCCTTTTTTTTTTTTTTTTTTTTAAGTGGAGCCCAATGCAGGATTTGGATTTGCAACCCTGAGGTCAAGACCTGAGCTGAGATCAAGAGTCGGGATGCTTAACCGGCTGAGCCACCCACGCACTCCACATTTGATCCATTTTTAACTGTTTAGAAACTCTGTACTTAAATATAGTTCAAACTGTCAATTCAGTGGCATTAAGTACATTCACACTGTTGTGTGACCATGACCACCAGCCATTTACAGAATCTTTCCTCTTCCCAAACAGAAACTCTGTCCCCATTAAACAGTTAACTCCCATCCTCCCCCCCCCCGCCCCTTGCAACCACCATTCTACCTTCTGTCTCTATGAATCTGACAGCTCTAGGGACTTGAGATACACTCATTTTGTAATCTGACCTGTTAGAGGTTTCTCAGCAGTGAGAAAAAGAACAGGCCTATGAGTTAATGAGGGGAAGGGGGCACCATGCAGCCCAGGTACTTTATTCTGGGTACTCATCGAGTTCCAGGTGAACGAATTTGTACTGCATATAAACTAGCAAGCTGACTTAGGTAACTGGTCTTGCAAGTTTGTTGAAGACATCTTATCTAATGGGATCACCTGCTTTCCCCAAACAGCCTTCAGCTTTGTTCTTACCTAAAGGGAAGAACACATTAAAAAGGGGTAGAGAAAACCAAGTCTGGGACCAGGTTGCATGGGGACAAATAGTGCTGCCACCTCGGTGAGCTGACCCGTTATACTATGTACTAGGGCACACATGAGAGCTGAGTTAATTTAACTGGATGATTCAAGATTATCAAGGCAAGATGAAATCACGTTCCATATATTGTTCACTAGAGCAGTAAAATGGTATGCGTTTTAAGGGAAAAAAAGGTATTAAAAAAAGAAGCTTTAGTGCTTCGAGAGATAAATCTCAGCTAATCAGAAAATGTATGTAAAATACTTAATTCTAATAATCCAAAAATGATTATATTAATAAGTAAATTGAATTCAAACTTATTTTCTTAGAATATTCAAATGAAAAACACTAAAATATTTTAATAAAAAAATAATACATAGGATGTTTCCCCTCTCCAATTTCTTTTTTTTTTAAAGATTTTATTTATTTGTTTGACAGAGAGAGACACAGCAAGAGAGGGAACACCAGCAGGGGGAGTGGGAGAGGGAGAAGCAGGCCCCCCGCGGAGCAGGGAGCCCGATGCGGGACTTGATCCCAGGACCCTGGGATCATGACCTGAGCCAAAGGCAGACGCTTAACGACTGAGCCACCCAGGCGCCCCCCTCTCCAATTTCTTATCACAAGAAAGTTCTTACCAGGAATTCTACTCCTCAATCTTTTTATCCTGAAAGGATAAGAAATATATAGAGAAGACTGACATTAATTAGAACTATTAAAATCAAAGACAGAGTGCCAAAATACATTCAATCAGCCCAAATATATTTTAGTTAAAAGGCTCTTTTCCTCTCAGGTTACTCTAAATACAAAAAGCAAAAAATCCACAATCTGCTACAAAGATAAGGACAGTGAAATCCAAGGAGAAAAGAAAATTTAGTCAAAATATATCCATGCTAGAAGAGCTTCTCCTCCGTACAGTTAGAAGAACAGAGCGTAAAATACGTACCTAAAATACTGACTGAACGCTGCCAGAACATTCTTATGTGCTTTAAAGCACACCCCTTTCACGACCAACATGCAGTCACAAAGCAGGCCTTGAATGCGCTGCTCGTGCAGCTGCTGGAGAAGATGGCAGCCGTGAGTAGCGACTGGGTCCATGCTCAGCCACCCAGGAGACCTGCAGCAAAGAACGTGAATGAGAGACTGAGATTCGGCGATACGACTGGCAATTATGGCTCCGGAACCCACTGATTGACGGGCAGCTCGTGGTCATGATTCCTTGTTGGTCACACTTCAAACAAACCAACAAAAAACCCACAAAAACTTTGTGTCTTGGGCATCAGACCAGTGCTGGTCAACAGAAACATTTGCAGTGATAGAAATGCTCTGTATCTGCACCGTTCAGTACAGTGGCCACTGGCCACATCTGGCCACCGAGCACTTGAAATGTGGCTAGAGTGACTGAGGAACTAAACCTTTAATTTATTTAAACAGCCACTGTATTTGACAGCGCCAATGTAGAATATGACCACGCTAACGCTATGTGCACTTCTCTCATTTCTACTTAGGAATAGTTCAAGGAAAACATACAGACACTTGAAGTTAGAAAAAAATCAACTGGATGAGATCAGTCAATACTTATTAAGTACCTGTACATGGGGCACTGAATTAGAAGGTGGGAAAATTAGGAGCTTATTTAGGGAGATAAAAAGTCAAAATAAACTAGCACCACTAGAAAGTAATAAAAGAGGCATCACAAAGCAGCATATCGGCTCATTTGTTCCCATTTTTCCCTGGATTTATTTTAGAGAGAGAGATCGAGAGAGCACACAGGAGCAGGGGGAGAGGGAGAAAGAGAATCTCAAGCAGATTCCCCACTAAGTGTAGAGCCTGACATGGGGCTCAACGTGGGGCTCAATCTCACAACCCTGAGATCATGACCTGAGTCAAAACCAAGAGCTGGACGCTTAACTGACTGAGCCACCCAGGCGCTCCATACTCATTTGTTCCTTCTTACCTCTCTGCTAAGGCACTGCTGTAGCAGAGACCTGTCTTGCAGGTACCCTGGGCAGAAATACTAGAAAGCATAAGGTGCCTACTGTGCTTGAGAGTGCTGAAGCCAAGTAAGTGTAGGACATGACGTATGAGTGTGTGTGTGTGTGTGTGTGTGTGTGAGAGAGAGAGAGACAGAGAGAGAAGATGAGAGGATCAATATAGAAGGGATCACATCTATTCAACATCTATTTACTGACTGACTACCATGTGCCAGGTACTAGGGCTATAACAACAAACAAAATATGCCAGGTCCCCACACTCATGAAGGTTAAATTCTATTAAAGGAAACACACACACACAAAAGTACACGACACACAACTAAACAAATACAGGAGCACAATCCAGTGAGATATAGTTACGGGAAGAAATGTAGTGGGGAGAAATGAAGTCAGACTGGGAGAAGCCTATGGAGGCTAATGTGGCAGTTTGGTACAGTAAAAACCTAAAAAGCCATTATCTGCTTTATTTGCTTTCATCCTCGGTGCATAAGCATTATTGAAAAAGCCACTAAACCACAAAGCCAAAACCTAAGCTTTTTAACCCGGCTCCTTCTTCTCTATCATCACCACCATCACCATCACCAGCATCACCACCACCTCATCCCCCACTGTGCCCACTATGTGTCAGCCAAAATAAACTACCTGCACCTCCTTAAACAAGCTGTACTGGGGACAGTTTGGAGCCCTAACCCACTGCTCACTACCTGCATGACTTTGGGCAAATGACCACTTTCCTCATCTTATCTCACGGGTTACTGACACAATTGTGAGAGCCCATGTGAACATCTAGTATAGCAACTGACATTAAGTATTCAACAAATGTTATCTATAAGGACCACCTGGAAAGCCTGTTAGAAATGCAGATTCCTGGATACCATCAAGATTTCTGCTCAGTCTAGCATGGGATGTAGGCACCTGCACTGTAAGCATCCAGGTAATTGTGAAGCAGACAGATTACAGACCGTTGCCTTACTCTCTCCCCAGAAAGCCTTTGGTTCTGATACTTCCTGTCCTGGGAATACTAAGGCCCACTCCCCTACCAGGGCTCAGCTGAGCTGTCAACAACTCCTAGAAGCCTTTCCTGCCATTTTGAAATTTGTTCCTTCTTCCCCACTGTTCCTTCCTCGAGTCTGACTCTGGGGTCCCTCCTCTGCGATCTTATAGCCCCATACATACTTCCACAAGACAACTTCTCATTATGCTCCATCATCTGTGTCTCCAACTCTGCTGTGAGCTCTGAGGGGACCATCTTATTCATCTTTGCATGGCACACAGCAGATACTCGACCATTAAAATCCATGCGAGCTAACCTCTGTTGCTAATTAGCAACAGTTAATGTTTATGTCTTTTTCGACTTCCTCTACACTCTCACAACAGCTCTTCTGAGTCCTTTCCGGTCTCTTCAATCCCACCATGTCTGTCTCCCTCATCCATAAAAGTGACTGCGACCCGACCCTGACTCCACTAAGAAGGTTGAGCCCACAGACAACTTGATATAACCTGAGTGCCTTTAAATTCTTTTCTCAATTCCAAATTTCTCACTCATCCCTCCCTCAATCCCTTCAGCTTCACAGGATGAAGGGTACCTTCTCTTATGCAAAGCCAACTTCCCTTCTCCCCTTGACCCCACCCAGCCTGCCTCCCCCAGGACTTGGTTTCATCCTCAGCTCTTGTGCTGCTTCCCTGTCCCCGACCTACTGGCTCACCAGCTCCTGCAAACACCAAGACAAAACAGGACAACAAAATCCTCCTGCTAGGTACATCTATTCATCATAGGCCTCTCTTTTACGCCTCTCAAAACAGCAACTCCACATCCCACTTTACCTTTTTTATAAACTTTTTCAATTTAAATTCAATTAGCCAACATATAGTACATCATTAGTTTCAGATGTAGAGTTCAATAATTCATCAGTTACTTGTAACACCCAGTGCTCATCACATCATATGCCCTCCTAATGCCTGTCACCCAGTTACCCCCCCACCCAGTTTACTTTCTCTCGAGTCCTTTTCCCCTTGTAGTCTTGCTGCCATTCTCACTCTGCTGCAACACACGTGCCCACAGTGGCCTTTCCTCGGTCCCTTCTCCCCAGCTGTGCTGCAGCATGTGGAGTATGGTCTGCCCAGCTCAACATCCTCTCTCCCCAGAACCCTTCGGGTCCTCTTACTACGGCTCTGACCTGTTCCATCTCTATGCTGTGCTCTGCGAGCCCCCAAATGTTAATGTCCCTTAAGATTCAGCCCCTGAGCCTTCTCTTTCCCTTGACAATCACACCTATTCTCAGCTTTCACCTGTTCTAAGCAGACAACTCCTAAATGTGAAACTTTAGCTTTGACCATCACTTCCACATTTCCAACTTCCTGCTAAACGTCTACAACTGTACGACCCCTCAACTTTGAATCTCTAAAACTTACCCCCATCATCTCAGCCCCAGCTCTACACCTTATTCTGAGTCCCCTATTTCTTTATGGAAAGCTTAGTTTCCGATATGCAAAGTTTGGAGCATTGGCACGATCTCCTGGTTTGAGATCAGGGTGGGATGCAAGGAAAACTGGTGATATCACCTAGAGAGAATAACATCAGCCAACACAAGAATACAGAAAGGGAAAGCATTATGTCAGGTGGTGGGGCACTGTTCGTGTTGAATCCTCAAGGGAACTGAACAGCCAAATGATGGAGCAATCAGGTACCTACCCTGTCCCATCGGTGGCTTGAAAAGAAAAGGATTATTGGCTTATTCTTATTATCTCTCATTTACTATTCACTATGGGTCAGAAACCGTGCTACGCACATTCTATCCATTAACTCAAACAATGCTACCAGAAGCCTATTATCATCATTTTATAGGTGAGGAAATTAAGAAATGGGGAGTTTAAATACCTAGCCCAAGATCATGAAACTACTGTGTTCCAAAGCCAGGATTTAAAGCCTGGTTCCTAACCGTGGAGCCCATGCTCTTGGGCTATGCTATGGCCCATGAGAAAAAGAACATTAAAAAGACAACACAAAACCTTCCTCTACAGACTTAAATGCTAAACTACAGCAAATATTCTGAATCTGCTTTAGACATTTTCCAGCCCTATAGAAATAACACGCACAATTATGAACTCTTCCACAGTTTACGCTGACTGTAAAAACCTTAACTCTTTCACACTACTTGGTATAGTTCTCTAACGGCTTCATGACGTCAATCCTGTACCTTCCCAACAAGATTATAGAGAGCTCTGGAAAAATAATTTACGTCTTATATTCCTCGTGTGTCCTATGAATAACAACTACAAATAAAAATGTATCATGAACCTAAGATCAATAATAATAAATGGCACATATTTATAAAATGCTTCTAACATGCTAGCCACTAGGCTAAGCCCTTTACCCATATCCTTTTAATTCTCACGCTCATTTCATACTTAATTCACACTCATTTAATTCTCATGATAAACGCAGGATAAATACTACTATTATCCTCATTTTGTAGATGAAGACAATGAGGTACCTGGAGAATTAAAGACAGTACAACTCTGACATTCCGATTCCAAGGGGAGGTGGGATCTAGGTCTCTCCTGCCTCGAATCTGAGCAGCCTCTGCCTTAACCAATGGAACAGGCAAAAGTAAGGGTGCAAAACTGTCCTCATTTCTGGGCTGAGGCCCTAAGAGCTGAGAGCTGCCACTGTCTGTCTTCTGGAAGAGTGACTCTGAGGCCTGAGTCAGCTGTAAGGCGCCCAACTGGGGAGAATCCGTGGCGCCCAAGAAGGACTCAGCTGAGCCCAGCCTTCCAGCCCCCCTACCCAGGTACCAGATATGGGAACAAAGCCACACCCGACACCAGCGGAATATCACGCAGAGCTGAAGAACAGCCCAGTGGAGCCCTGCTTGAATTCCTGGCCCACAAAACTGTGAGATAAAATAAATTTTTGAGTCACAAAGTTTTGTGGTAGTTTGTTGCGATGCAAGAGATAACCTGACCAGGTACAGAGAAAACGGACACAGCTAATAAGTAATAGTAAGAGGCAGAGTCAGGATTTAAACCAAGGGAATGGTTCCAAAGCCCACGTGCTTAACCACTACTCTGAGTTACATGTGACAGACGAAAGGCCTTCCTTGGATCAAATCAGCTGCCCCTT